AGACTGAGATCTGCTGATCTGTAGCTTCTGAGAAGTTAGTCTGATTGTCTCCTCTATAAGTCTGACTCTCTGCAGCTCTTCTCTGACTGTCTGTAACCTGTTTGTTCTGTCCAGCAAACTCTGTATGAAAATCCAGGTGATCAGTTATTATAGTTCATTATTAGCTCCATTATCGTCTTCATAGAACAGTATTAAATACAAATGCTAATATAAACGTGACTCTGCTGTTAAAGTTCATGTAAGGAAATGATTCTAACACAAATTTCTGATTATATTAATGATAATGTGTGTGTGTGTATGTGTGTGTGTGTGTGTGTGTGTGAGAGAGTGTGTGTAGGTGTGTAGGTGTGTATGTGTGTGAATGTGTATGTGTGAGTGTGTGTGCGTTTGTGTGTGTGTGTGTGTATGTGTGTATGTGTGTGTGTATGCGTGTGTTTGTGTGTGAGTGTATGTGTGGATGTGTGTGTGTGTGTGTGTGTGTGTGTGTGTGTGTGTGTGTGTGTGTATGTGTGTATGTGTGTGTGTATGCGTGTGTTTGTGTGTGAGTGTGAGTGTATGTGTGGATGTGTGTGTGTGTGAGTGTGTGTATGTGTGAGTGTGTGTGTGTTTGTGTGTGTGTATGTGAATGAGGTAACAGTGTTATTAATGGTGTTCAGTCATCTCAGGCTGCTGTGAGCTCTACACTATAGTGATACATACAGAGCTGAAGTGTGTGTTAGTAACTCTCTCTGCTGATGATGTTCAGCTGAACACTCTGAACACACAGTACAGATAAATACATTCAGTCTTTACAACACAAACATTCTTCATCAACAATCAGCTCATCACAGTAAAATTACACACTGAATTATACTCACCAATCAGTCCTGCAGCCTCCTGTGAAGTGAATAATATAATGTGAAGACTTCTTGCATTGAATAATAAGTGAATTATTACATTTAATTATTAGGAAAACTGTAAGTGTAACAGCACAGTGAATGTGGATGATGCTGCTCTGTTGTTTGGGGGTTTCATTTCTTAATGTGGATCTGATACAGACTCACAGTGTTATTTTTAGAAAAAGTAATTTCTAATTTAGTATTATATTTGCAAATTTTATTTTGGTCTCTCTATCTCTCCCTCTCTCTCTCTTGCTCTCTCTCTCTCTTTCTCCTTCTCTCCCTGTTTTCCTAGAGTACTGTGTTATTAATCATTGATGGTATGTATATGAATGTGTCATTATTTAAGTAGATTAATATTCTGGTTCAGCTTCCAATGTTCCATCTTCCACCTTCTCTGCGAGCAGCCCAACTGCTTTTCTCTAGAGCTTTCAGAGCTTCTCACTCACATTACAGCCTTCTGTTCATTAGTACACCTGAGATTCTGTCATTTCCTAATGAGATGAACTCAGATATTTGAGTCTCACATAATATAAACACATGAACTTTTGTAAAACAAATGCATTTTTAATTTTTAAACATTTGAGCATAAAATAGCAGAAGGTACTCTCTGTGATCCGACTAAAAAAATGCTATAAAATCCATCTCTGTTCATTTGAATTAAATACTTAAGACACTGTTTGTATCAGATTTTTTTTCAAAGCTCAGGAAATGACTAATGGAGGAAAATCTGCTCTCACAGTCAGTTGTTTGCTGTGTTTGTTCACTACTGGACTGAACTGTGAGGAGAAAGTCTAAAAGTAATGTAACAGATGTCATGTAGTTCATTTAAATAGAACAAATGTAAAATCAAAAATGAGTCTTCTCTGTTTCAGTCAGTCTTACACTCCTCCCTCTTCATTCACCCCTCTCTTATCTGTCTTATTACAGACTGTAGAAGTGAATAAAACATCCTGAAGATTTTATAAATAAAGCCACAAAGAATATATGAACATCTAGTAAATCTGTGCTGAGAGACTCTGCAGACTGAATAAGAGAAGCTGATTATTCTTAAATGAAGTGAATGGAAGTGAAGGAGATGAGAGGATCTCAGTAATCGAGTCTTTCAGAGCTGCTGACTCTTCATTATTTGCTGCTTGTTGTGAGTCACTGATATAGAGACTCATCAAACAGGCAGATAGTGTGTGTGAGTGTGTGTCAGAAGCTCCTGCTGTGTGTGTTCTGGGCTATTTTCAGTAATGGAGGAGAGGAAAACTACAGTAATGAGAGACACTCTAATGATAATGATGTACTGATGATGAACGACTCAAATATTCCATCATCACATAAGAACAGTGACATCACTCCCAACAGAGCCAGACTGCTTTTATTTGTTGTGTCTTTTTCTCATCAGTGAACTTCACTGTCTCTACATTTCTGCAGTGCAGTGGGATTATGCACAGGAGCATTGTGGGAAGGAAGGAGGGAGATGAAGTCAAAAGCTTTCATTCTGAGATCAGAGACTTTATTCATCATGTGAAATTTACCTGAAACTCAATATTATGTAGCTGCTTGATGTCTGTATTGAATGTAGTTGATGTGATAAGAGTATAAAATCAGTCACTACCAGCAGAGAAAGAACTAAACATAGTTATTTACTTACCAACTGAGCTGTGGAATAAAAACAGAAGGAAACACAAAGTTAGTCAAATCTCCATGAGAAACACTTTTACAGTCTTTTAACTCTTTATCTCCCTATCAGAATCTCATTTTCTCATCTCTACTGTAGCTTCTGATGAACAAACATGAGAAGGAATTGTTTTTATTCCAGCAGCAGTTAAAATCAGATCAAGTACAGTTACAGAATGAACAGACAGATTAACTAATATAATAACTAAGATTAACTGATATATGAACTAAAAGATGAACTGATATAATAACTATCATTAACTAATATAGTGTCAATCAGGAACAGATCATGAAGGAACATATGAAATAAATCATTAAGAAACGGTAAATATAAGAAGAGAGTTTTGTGTTCTGAAGCTTCATGAATGAATGAGGATCATGAGCTGAAGGAAAACTAATGAATAAACTGAATGAAAGACTAAAAGATGAATCTCTATTGTAACAGTCAGGAGTCGGAGCTTCAGGAGAGCCGAATACTCAAACACCATCAACACGTTTTCAGGTTTATGTGGAGAACTGAGAGCTGAAAACAGGTCAAATCAGAGCCGTCAAGCAGCAGGTCAGGCTTTTTAACTGTGCTGATCATTCTGGGTTCGTTTCCCAAAATCACTTCATTAACCTGTTTTTAAGAAAGTTCGTTAAATAGCGAGTTTTTTCAGAAACGCTTCTTCACTAAAGAACCACATAAACTCTCTCTAAATGAACGACTAACAGACCCATCAGTTCCTCACACAGAGCTTCTTTATTAGAGTTTTACCAGCAGCTCAGCAAAAAGCTGGAGGGAAAAACTTTGAATGAAAAACAAACAAAGCCTCCCAGAGTAAAAATCTAAGACACTAATAATAATAATACTAAAATTGCTCGTTTAATCAGGAAATCAAAACATGGTGAACAGGAGCTTTTCTTCACTTTACATATTATTATTATTATTATTATTATTATTATTATTATTATTATTATTATTACTTATTATTATTGTTGTTGTTGTTATTAATATTATTATCAACCATAAATATGGCAATAAAAATGAGTTAAGAATATTTGTTAATATAATCGTAACACTTTGTTAACATTATAATAATTTACTTTTCTTATTAAAAAAAATCATTATATAATACATACAAAATAATTTAACATAATAATATTAAAACTGGATACAAGTTTTTGATTGTAATATTTTCAGTTGGAGGTTAAACAATTCATCCCTTAAGAGAAAATAAAAACTCTAAAAGATCTAGAAATGGATTTTGAAAGTCATTTTGATCCACTTTACTCTTAAAGCTACTTCATTCTGTAAGAAGAACTCAATATTTAAGATGATTTAGAACTGAACTAAACTGATTTAGAGTCTAAACTAAAACTTTGCTTGAGTTCATTAAATAAATGAAGCTTTTTTCTTGAATGTTTGTTGATGGAAATCCATGATGTGTCCTGTCAGGCTGAAGGTGAGCTGGCTTGAAATAACTCAGCTGTAAAACTGTAGTATTGCTGTGATTTTACAGATGTAGAGAATCTTCACCATCATCACCAGATCTACAGGCTGGAGATCACATTCACTCACATTCTTCACCTTCAACTCTTTAGAAGATTAAGATCAGATTTAATCTTCTGTCTGTATTTTAATGTTTTTATAAATACCTTCATTCATTAATTTGGTAATTTATATTTAAATTTGGTCTCAATTCCTTTGTTTGTATTTTACACTCAAAGACATGAATTTCAGTTTGAAATATTGTGGTTCCATCAAATGGTTAGACGGGGGCGCTGTACTTAATACAGCTCCTGGCGGGAGTGGACATCGCTCAAGAGAAACGAGCTGAAGTTCAGGGTCTGAATCGGAGAACTGAGACTCGCCTCTTTATTGGTGAGCTCCGCCCCGCGCGCAACCAGTCTGAACAGCGCGCGAGTTCACAGATAAGACTCAAGTGTGAATAAAGATGCGCAGTTTCGGTTTTATCTCCTCACTACGCGCAGCTCAACTCTGAACACGCCCCTTTTAGTGTCTGTAGTTTGTGGATCTGCAGCTTTAATTAGTTAAGAACAGGATTTTTGTGACAGTTAGTCAGCAGCCTGTAGTGACGTCACATATTACATATAATATTTTAATAATATTTCATTTATTTTTATTTTTTCATCTAAAATATTTATTTACTTCTTATAGAAGTTTTTAGTTCAGCTGCAGTTGTAAGTTTTCCACTGTGCAGTCATGATGTGGAGGTTTAGAGTCAGAGTGAGAAACAGAGTCACTGTTTTTTCTACTGAAATGCCCCATCTGTCCTTCACTCCACATTAACATCATTTATCCTCTGTGTGTTTTACCTCCTTTATCTGAACACAACACCATTCTGAACATCTGTGTTTCTCATTTCTGTCTCTTCATCTTTCATTCTCAGACGCTGATGATGATGATGATGATGAGTTTATGTAGAGTGAACTTCTGGAATACTTACTCACTGTTACTCCTACTGTATACTCCTCTGTTGTGTCTCCATTGGTGACCTGACACAGATAATCTCCACTATCTGAGTCTCTACAGTCTCTGATCTGTAAGGAGACGTTTCCTCTCTGCAGCTCCTGAGTGAACAGACTCACTCTTCCCTCGTAGCCCCTCCCCTCTGTCACCTGCCTGTTCTTATAGAGACAAACACAGTCCGTCCCCTTAAACCACCTGATCTCCATGGAAACAGCACTAATTTCAGGAGACAGGTGACAGGAAAGAGTGAGAGCAGAGCCAGACTGTGTATCTGTACCACGGGGTCCAAAGAGTTTAAAGTCATCTGTGTAGAAACACACACACACACACACACACACACACACACACACACACACACACATTAATAGTTGTGTCTCGTGTGTCTCCACAATAAAAACAAACTCTCTGATTGAATATTATTTAATGATGTTCACAGTAAAACCTTTTGTAGGTTCTGGAAGTTTAACTTACTGTTTCTTTCAGCCGCCATTTTTATCTCTTTATCTCCTCCTACAGATTCACACTAATACAATCCTACACACAGAGAGAGAGAGAGAGAGAGAGAGAGAGAGAGAGAGAGATAGAAATTTCTATACTTAATTTTTGATCAGATAACTGTGAGAGTGACCAACGAAAAATTAGGTAAATAAAATATGTCTACAGTTTCCAAACTGACATGATATCTAATGATTTATATGACAATATTAAAACAGAAACAAACAATATTAATAACAGTATAATAACAATGTCATGTGGTTTCTGCTACATATTCAGTAAAGAAGTTCAGTTTTATTTTTCATTACAGTGACAGTTTTTTTCTTTCTTTCTCTTCCAAAATATCTCAGTAAAATATCTCAGTAATAATAAAGTGATGATGATTAAACAGAAAGAGAAAGGACTATTAACTGTTATGGAAAGTCAACAAATGACCATTATACAGAAATCCATGTTGAAAATGATGTGAGTTATAAATGCAGGCAGGGCAGGTTAGCACTTCTTTCTCTTCTGCTTTAACTGCATAGAAAACATTTAGTGCTGAACTTCGTAGAACTAAAGGAAATAATTCATTTAGACTTTAATTACAGAGTTCAATGTGGGAATATCTGTAAATATTTGGCAGCTCTTTCTCAGCTCAGTCCATCTGAACGAGGCCATTTATTGACTTTCTAAGCTGAATAACAATAACAGGCAGAAATCTGTTCTCATGTGAGGAAACTGAATGATCTGCTTCAGATGACAGACTGTTTTTCTCACAAGCTAACGCTCCATATGTGCTCGCTAGACAATAATCCATCATGTTAATACTAATAAAAGGGAGTGAAGTTCACTGATGGAGCCTCTTTTAGACTAAACTCAGTGTTACAGCAGGAATATTCAGAGAGAGACTCACTCACACCTTCATCATCATCATGAAGGAGGTTCTTCATCAGGCAGCCGTGTTCTTCACACAGTCTTTTGGGGAGAAGAGCATTAATGAGTGTTAAACACAGCTCAGCTAACATCACTACTGTTATCACTCTTATCAACACTTTCAGACTCACAATAAAGCTCTGAAATATTTTGTTGATGTTCAGCAAAGTGATAGAAGTAAATATGGAATCAAAAGCAGAGCATCAGTGAATATTACACTGTAGATACTGATAACATTATAAAAGCTCTTTCAGTGTCTTATCAGTGTTTGTTTCTAATGCAGAGCACTGCTGACACTAATGTAGGAACATTTTATTCACTTTTCCAGTAACGTCTACAGGCCTTCAGAACACTGTATATTTATTGTGATATAAAATCTTTACACTTCTATTAAACTGAGAGTTGTTCTACACTGTCATGTTAAAGACTGAAGAAAAAGCTCTTTATGAATGAGGTTTTGTATTAAACCACATCTGGAGACATTTGGAACATTTAAAACATCCAGTCTGTTCTCTGACCACAAGAGGGCAGCAGCATCTAAATGCAATGAACCTGCTTTCATTCATTTACTCCTCTTAAACTGAGAGCTTTTATGGCTTTAATGTCTGTTTTTCCTCCTTTTTCTTTTCTGTTTGTTCACCACAATCTATCAGCTCAGTAGTTTCCATGTTATTTAGTCATGTTATGTTAAATGGAGCTATAAAGTCTCTCTGCAACTACAAACCACAGAGAGACTTGATCATATACAGTAACTGTCAGCTATAGACACTGCCTCAAAGAGACCTATTTGTCACTTTATTTAGATTTTCGCACTTATAAAATCATAATAATAACTATTTAACACATTTTAAAAGTCTAAAAGCAATTGTCACCTCAAACCTTTAGATGCACAGTGTAAACACAGTATTGGCAACAATGTTCCAGATAGATAGTGCAAGAAGAGCATCAAAAGAGGTATATATGAGTGTGAAGGGGGGGGGTTAGTTCAGTCCTTGTGAGTTTAAAAACCTGATTGCAAGAGGAACAAAGCTGTTGCAGAGTCTGGCATTGATGGCACGGATGTTCCGGTACCTTTTGCCAGACAGCAGCAGTGAAAAAGTCCGTGTGAGGGATGGATGGGGTCGTTCACGATGCTGGTGGCTTTGCGGATGCAGCGCGTGGTGTAGATGTCCATGATGGAGGTGAGAGAGACCCCGGTGATCTTCTCAGCTGTCCTCACTATGTGCTGTAGGGTCTTGCGGTCGGAGGCGGTGCAATTCCCAAACCAGGCGATGATGCAGCTGCTCAGGATGCTCTCCACGGTCCCCTTGTAGAACATGGTGAGGATGGGAGGGGGGAGATGAACTTTCTTCAGTCTCCGTTGGAAGGCTCTCTTGGCTATGGAGTTGGTGTTGAGGGACCAGGTGAGGTTCTCTGTGATGTGTACGCTGAGGAACTTGGTGCTCTGGACGATTTCCACAGCAGAGCCAGTGATGTTCAGTGGGGCGTGGTCACCCCACACTCTTCGGAAGTCAACAACCATCTCCTTAGTTTTGTCTACATTCAGAGACAGGTTGTTGGTTCCGCACAAGTCTGTTAGCCGCTGCACCTCCTCTCTGTACGCTGACACTCTCTCACTCACTCGCTCATCATTCTTGCTGATCAGACCCACCACAGTCGTGTCATCAGCAAACTTGATGATGTGATTTGAGCTGTACTTTTTTTTTTTTACTTTTTTGTTTTACTTATTTTTAATTTATGATGTTTAATTAAATAAAGCAAAGAGAAAAATAATTCCACAACGGCTGTGTCATCCGAGAATTTCTGCAGATGACACGACTCTGTGTTGTATCTGAAGTCAGAGCTGTAGAGGTTGAACAGGAATGGGGCTAACACAGTCCCCTGGGGTGCCCCAACACTGCACACAGCCTTGTCTGAGACACAGCCCTGCAGTCGCACATACTGAGGTCATCCAGTAAGATAGTCCATTATCCATGAGCAGGGGTGTAAAGAGTACTGAATATCCCTACTGAAGTACAAGTCCTGGTACTGTAATCATAATTTGCTCAGGTTCAAGTACAAGTATTAGTAAATAAAATTACTCAAGTAAGAGTAATTAAGTAGTTCATAAAAAAACTACTTAAGTACTGAGTTACTTAGTTACTTTTTCTAAGACTGTATATTTTCACTGATATCTGTTCAGAACATTTCTACCAATAAAATCAGCAGCAACATCAGCAACTTACCCAGCTTTAATTTTACTGTAATATTTCACTAATCATGCTGATCACTTCATACAGAATCAGACATTATTACTGCATTTCACAGTTAAACAGCTACACAGCCTCTCACAATTAAAGACAAATACTAAGGCAGAGAGACAAAGAGAGAGAGAGAGAGAGAGAGAGAGAGAGAGAGAGAGAGAGAGAGAATAAGAGAGAGAGAGAGACAGAGAGAGAGAGAGAGAGAGAGAAAGAAAGAGAGAGAGACAGAGTAAGAGGGAGAGAGAGACAGAGAGAGAGAGAGAGACAGAGAGAGCATGGGGGTGGGGAGGGATCAGATCAGGCCAGTCCATGGCAGCGAGACAGAATCACTGTCCAGAGTTGATGAAGAACCTGTATTAGACTAGATTTCTTGTAGCCATAAACGACCGTTAATCTCCAAAACAGCAGCTAAACTAGGCTGTATTTTAAATGGTAAACTGCAGGCTGTGGGTGACACCTGTTAACTAAAGCAGCTCACAGGCACTGTAGTAAAATATAAAATAAATATAAAATAAATAAATATAAAATAAATAAAATATACACAACAAATTTCAAGTTTAATAAACAGAAGCTTTATTAAAGGAAGAAGAAAACTGTAAACACAGTACCTGTTTAACTCAGATCAGCTAGCTAGCTCGGCTAATGCTCCCACAAGTTGGATTAGAGTTGTGAGAGCGGATGATCCTCACAGTGCTGCCTGATGTGTCCAGGTGAGAGTATGTTCTTTTCAGCAGGTAGATAACTGCACTCTAATGACATCCTGTTATGCAAACTGCAGAGGGTAGAGAGATGTTCTGACCAGAGGTCTCAGATGAGCTAGCATCAGCCTTTCAAGTGTCTTTATTAGGTGGGATGTCAGTGCAACAGGTTGATAGTCATTCAGTGCTATTGGTTGCCTTTTCTTGGGGATGGGAATCACACAAGATGTTTTCCACATAGCTAGGACTCTCTTCAGGCTACAGCTCAGATTAAAGATGGGCTGAAGGTTCCACACAGCTGCTCCACACACAGTTTCAGCACCCTAGGTTCAATGCCATCAGGTCCTGCTGCTTTACTCTGCTTGAGTTTTTTCAGTTCCTTCTTCACCTGATCAGCAGTGAATGTACTATCACTGGACATTTCAAATGTGGGGGCTGGGTGAGAGGCGTCCATTGCAGACAGTGGTTGCTGATGGTCAGAGGTTTGAAAGGCTGTGGTGGAGCAGGGTGAGGCTGTGGATGGCCCATGGCGTAATTGTGTAGGTGTGTTAATCTGTGTAGGAGACAGACACAGTGGAGTAGGAGAGGAGCCGTTCTCAAACTGCACAAAGAATTAGTTTAACTCATTCACCCATTCACGCTTTCCCTCTGCTGGAATAGGCCTGCGTTGGTTGAAGCCAGTGATGTCTTTTAGGCCTCTTCAGACATCACAAGTGTTATTCAGCTCTAGTCTTTTAGTTTTCCAGCTTGAACCTTCTTAATTGAGGTTTAAGCTCTTTTTGTACCCTCTCCAGTTCCTCCCTGTCTCCTGCCATAAATGCTCTTTTCTTCTGGTTCTGCAGAGATTTTAAGTCATGGGTGACCCAGGGTTTGTTGTTGGGAAAGCACCGGACAGTCCTGGAGGGTCGACACACACGTTGATGTAGTCAGTGATGCATGATGGCATTGCATCAATGTCCTCACCATGTGGTTCACACAGGACATCCTATTGTGTAGCCTCCAGATAGCCCCTCAGTGATTCTACAGCCTGAGGTGACCACTTCCTCACTGTCCTTGTGGTCACTGCCTGTCTCTGAACCAGGGATTTATACCATGAATTGAGGTGAACCAGGTTATGGTTTAAACGACCCAGTCGGGGG